CCTTTTTAATCTTTTGTCTAGAAGATCTATCCAGTGAAGTCAGTGGGGTGTTAAAATCCCCTACAATGACTGTATTGCTGTCAGTCTCCCCATTAAAGTCCTTTAGAAGTTTTTTGTTTGTTTCTTTGTTTTTTTAAACATATATTTAAGTGTTCCTATATAGTGTGCAAATATGTTTATCAGGGTTATATCCTTTTGTTGGATCAGTCCCTTTAATATTATTTATTGACCTTTACTGTCTCTTATCATGGCCTTCATTTTGAAGTCTGTTTTATTAGATATGTGTATTGCTACCCCCAGCTTTTTTTAAAAAAAAACTCTATTTGCATGGAAATTTTTCTTTTCCATCTCTTCAGTCTTATCCCCTGTGTGAGTCTTTTTCTGAGAAGGGTCTCTTGTAAACAGCTTATATTTGTGTAATTCAGCTTCCCTATGACTTTTGAATCAAGCACCTAACCATTTACATTTAAGATTATTATTGATAGGTGCTTATTTATTGACATTTTAATTCTTTATGTGTATGTTTCTGTCCCTCTCTATTCTCATTACATCAGTTCCTTTAGCACTTCTTGCAGTGAATCCTTTAGCCATTTTTTTTTCTTTCTTTGGTCTGGACAGCACTTTATTCCCAATCTATTTTGAATTATTGCCTTGGTGGATATAGTAATCTTGGTTTCAGATCCTTGATTTTCATTACCTTGAGTGTTTCATACCATTACTTCTGGCCTGTATAATTTCTGATAAGAAATCAGCTGACATACTTATGGAAACTCTTTTTTAGATAACAAATTGCTGCCTTTAGGATTCTCTTTTTGGCATTTTAATTATAATGTGTCTGGGCATGGGCTTATTTGGATTCTTCTTGCTTGGGACTCTCTTCTTGCCTCCTGAACTTGTGTGTCTTTTTCCTTCACCAGGTTAGGGAAGTTTTTTGCCATTATTTCTTCAAACAGGTTCTCTATCCCTTGCTCACTTCCTTTCCCTTCTGGTATTCCTATGATGTGAATATTGTTACATTTCATGTTGTACTTGAGTTCCCTTAATCTCTCCTCCTCTTTTTAAATTGTTTTTCATTTTTGTTCTCTGATTGAGTGATTTTTTTCCTACCTTCTATTCTAAAACACTAATCCAATCCTTGGCTTCTCCTAATCTCCTGTATATTCCTTCCAATGTGTTCTTTATTAGTGTTATGTCATTCTTAATTTCTGACTGATCTTTATCAGTTAAGATATATATTTTTTATGCGTTTGTGCATCCTTGCCATCATTATTCTGAAATATATATATATGCCTAAGCGACTGTTTGACAAGTAGCTATGATGCACACTGACCACCAGGGGCAGACACACATTGCACAGGCATGGAAACATGGAACAGACTGATGAATAACAGAGGGAAGGGTAGAGGGTGGGAAGAGATTAACCAAAGATCTTATATGCATACTAGAGGCCCAGTGCATGGATTCATGCACTGGTGGGGTCCCTCAGCCTGGCCTGTGGGGGACAGGCTGAAACTGACAGTCCAACATGTCCTGAGGGGTCCCAGATTGCGAGAGGGTGCAGGCCAGGCCAAGTATCTAATAAATTACTAGTATATAATAAATTTCTTAATCCATTTCATTTAGCTCTTCTTCTGGAGAATTCTTTTGTACTTTTATTTTGGGTTTGTGTTTATGTCTCCCCATTTTGGCTACCTATTTGGGTTTGTGTCTATGTATTAGATAGATATGCTAAGTTTCCCAATCTCTAATGCAGGACATTGTCAAACACTATTTGTGACTGATCCTGAATACTTTGTTTGGAGCTGTCAGCAATCCATAGCTTGTTTCTCCCTCTGCTGGGGCTAGGTGCCTTTGGAAAGCACCAAGATGTGCACCAGGGTGTGCTTTTCCTAGCCCAGGGCCCAGAAGCAGATCAGACAAAGATTAAAATTCTCCAGTGACCTCTCTATGCCTGAAATGATTATTATTAATTTTTTATTAGTCTCTGGCTATCAACCACAGGGCAGGGCAAGATATTTTTAATAGGGTGGAGCTATTGCTTCCTCTCTCAGGCAAAAGTTGCCTGGATAATAAAGGTCTGCCAGAGAAGATGTCCTCTGTGGTATGAGGGGATGACTCAACACATGAAACTGGGGTGGCTGCCTCCTAACTCTAACCCCAGAGCCCTCAACCCTAGAGTCTGCTCATACAGCTCCATTTCATTCTGCCCTCACTCCTCTAGAGCCCAAGGTTAATGGCTGCACACAAAAGTTTATGCCTTTGCCATTTAAGAGGGTGGATGCATTTCTAGTAGTCTCTCCCTAGTAGACATCAACCCTCCTGCTTTTCAAAGACAGATGTTCTGTCTGCACCTTTCTCAGTTCTAGTGCTCTGGGATGGGGGATGAATTTGGAGTTCAGACTCCAGAGGTCTTAACGGAAACCCCACCACACACACATACACACACGCACACACACACACCACAGCTAACATGTTCCTCTGCAACTTCAGCTGTTGTCTGTGGAAGTTTGACCAGAATTTTCACACCTCTGCACTTCCTAACAGTCTCTCTGTGGTCTCCACTTTCTGTCTTTGGATATCAGGGTTCTCTAGCTAGTCTTCAGTTGATTATTCAGAATGGTTTCTCTGTATTTTACTTATAATTCCAGTTTGATCCTGGGAGCATGTCAGTATAGCTTCTACTTTCTTTGCCAACATTTTGGAATCTCCCCATACACAAGATTTTTTTTTAACACTAATAGACTTTTAAAAATAAATTGCCAAAAGAAAACTACCATTAATTTACATTTTAACTTGTCTTTCAGAAAAATTATACAAATATCTATATCCACTTTTAATTAAGGGTGCCTGTTTCCATATCACCTTACCAAAAATAGTTCTGTTATTAAATTCTTAGAAGCACATATAAGTTACATAAATATAAATAGTGCAGGTGTCTTATTTTCTTTTATATGATTACTTGTGATGTTGAATTCTTATTTTAAACTAGTGACCCAGTGCACTAAATTAGTGCACATTAAGAGAGAATTAATTAGAGGAAATATTTTAATATTGCTATTTGCCCTTTCTCTATAATAGAAGTGTCAGAAAGGAAAGAAAGTTAGTAAAATGTATATGAAAATCTTCCTCATATAAGAGTCTGGGGTGTGCCATGGGAACAAGAGTCAAGTCCCCATCCACCCACATGCACCTTGAAATCACGCGAGACCCAGACCTGGCCGGCCCCATGCCCATTAGGCTAGATCCAGACCGGGCTGGTCCCACCCCTGTCAAGCCCCACCGGGTGAGGGGTGCGGCCTCAGGTCACCTGGCCCTGTGCCAGGGCAGGGTGCACAGCCTGAAGTCCCCTGCCCCAGGCTGGGGGCTCTCCTTGAGGTCCCCTGGCCTGGAACAGGGGGCACAGCCTGAGGTCCCCTGTCAAGCCCCGCCAGGTGGGAGGCGCAACCTCAGGTCCCCCGGCCCGGCACTGAGGTGGGGTGTGCAGCCTGAGGTCCCCTGTTAAGCTCCGCCAGGTGGGAGACATGGCCTGCGGTCCCCTGTCAAGCCCTGCAGGGGGGGGAGCATAGCCTGACGTCCCCTGTCAAGCTCTGACAGGCGGGGGGTGCAGCCTGAAGTCCCCCGGCCCCAGAGTGGGGGACACAGCCTGAGGTTCTCTGTCCTGGCACCAGGGGCATGGCCTGAGGTCCCCTGTTAAGCCCCACCAGGTGGGGGGCACAGTCTCAGGTCCCCTGTCCTGGGCCAGCGCCATGCAGCCTCAGGTCCTGCTGATTGCCCATTAAGGCTCATTATGGGAACTCGGCCTCCGCTGTGGGTGCAGCCATCTTGACCATTACAGCATGACAGTCAATTTGCATATTCCCTCTTTATTAGATAAGATGGCTTTGTGACTAATTAAAAAGTAACTGTTTATGCTCTTTGCTCATGTTTCCTTCCAAATTAATCATGTTTTCCTACTTGACTTATGTGTTTTTAATATATTAATGAAAAAAGCATCTCTCTATTTATATGCATAATAGTTGCCTATTAGCTATTCATATTTAATGTTGCCCACTGTGTTTTTAATATAAGTTCATGAAAAGAATTTGATAAATTATTAAAATATATGATTACTCATATTTGCTTATAAAATTTTAGTTTATTTTTAGTTAATGGGCATAAAAAATCTTTCCCCATTTTAATGCTTTATCTACAATATTTTATTTATCTCATGTTAAATAAGTAGCACGACTTTATATTTTCTTATATTTCACCATCCTTATACTCTTAAGGGGTTTAAGGATATGAACTTTAGGAGTAAAGTAGTTTATTTTTTCCCCATATGTAATTTATTGATTTTAAAACATATTTAGCTAATCAAGTACTTACTAAAACCAGACTTGGTTAAATATGGTTGACAACATATTTTATACTTCGCAGTTTAAATTGACTCCTAATATTAGGATTGCTTCTTATTTCCTGTGTATTCTCAAGAATCTATTAAATTTATTAAAATGATAGTAATGGTAATTCATGTTCTGAGTTATTAAAAAGTACCACGTGATAAATACATAATGCACTTAGCACAAAGTTTTGCACACAACAAATATATAATAGTTTTCTTTGAGTGGTGGAGCTACAGTAGTGGTAGTGACAATACTACCAATAACAGTAGTATTAACATAAATCAGTCTATGCCATCATGCCTTTGATTTTGAGATGCTTTGGGACACTTTACATACAAGTATACACTATTTTATACTCTTTAAAAAAACTCATTATACCTTTCATATTAAGAGTTTTGTTGATAATTGTAGCATACAACTTTGATTTTAATTTAGTTGACACTGGTTTTAATTCCTAAATATAAATATGAAGCACTTAATCTTTATTTCATTTATAGATATTTTGTTTGTTTTGGTTTTGGTTTTATTTGTAGACTTAAAGTAGCTTGCAGAAAGGGAAAGAACTTAAATTCTACATACAGAATGACATGATTATAAGTGAAATTTAAATCTATCAATCCCAAATTCACTATTCTGTAAGATGGCAATAATAGTACCTGATAGGGATGTGTGGGATTATCCTATATAATAAGAGAGGAATATGCTAATTAACGGTTACACCCTGAGGCGTAACAACCAAGCACTTCAAAACCAGATCACTGATCAGCAGAAGGGTTGGCCAGCAAGGTACAAGCAGGCTTTGGAGAGCTACAGGAGGGGACAGGGCAGCAAGCTATGAGGGGGGGTAGGGGGGAGGAGGTGGGGGGAGCTACAGGAGGGCGGCAGCAACCTACTGGCTACAAGTGGGTGACAGAGAGCTACAGGATGAGGCAGGGCAGCAAGCAAGCAGGAAGTGGAGAGCTACAGGAGAGAGCAGGGTTACAAGCTATGAGGGAGGGGCAGGGGGAGCTACAGGAGGGTGGCAGCGACCTACTGGCACACGAATTCGTGCGCAGGGCTACTAGTTATGGTATAACATGGAATGTTCTTTGAACATTATCTGACATATAGAAGATACTAAAGAAATAACTTTTAAATTATATCTTAATCTGAACTTCATTTCTGTCTGCTTCTTTTATTTTAAATATTAAAATAAATTTTATGTAAAATTTTATTTTTCTTATCTATTCTTCAGAAAGATTAAAATATCATTCATTTCAGATCACTCTTTTAGATGTCTTGGTTTTTTTGTACCTGATACAATTCCAAAATATATGCATTTTATCCTAGAGATCTAAAAATCATATCAGAAACTTTATTTCTTGGAGTTCGTATTTTGTAACTATAAACATTGATGTTGATCTCAGATGAATTAGTAATTAAGTAATCCTATGCTGGGCAACTAGCTTTAACCTTCACTGTTTTTTTTGCCGCTCCAAAGAAATGGCCTTCGTACTTTGATCTTCTTTGCCCTCTATAATCTTCATGTTTCTTATCTTTGATGCAAACACCTAGAAAATAACAAACAAATAAATAAAAATGATAAACTAGTCAAAACCACTTTTAAATGTAACTTGTTTCCTTTATTTCTATACATGGTTTTCACATTTAGTTTTTCTTCCTCTTTCTTCCATTTTTATACTTGCTCCCATTTCATTACTTTAAAAAAAATACTTCATTCCTTAAGAAGTCACTCTTATGGTTAATTATTTGGACCAAAAAAAAAATGACTAGTTTACAGAAATTCCTAAAATTACGTTCCAGTTGCCGTTTTTTTGTTTGTTTGTTTGTTTTGTTTTGTTTTTCTGTAATATGTTCTGCTTGACTTGTATACAACCCTGTTTTCAAAGTCCTGTCACTTCTACCTGTTTCTTTTGCTGAAGTTTTCATATAAAGGCCACCAGGAATACTAGTAGTTGTTGATCATGCAAATCTGGCTTTATTAACTTGTGAGGCAGAGTACAATCTTTTCAGAATCTCAGCAATGTCTCAGAGGGGCAAGTCTGGAATGATTGGTGGGCTTTCCTAAAATGGAAAATTTGTAAGAAAAGTTGGTAAATTCATTCTTGGAACATGAGTCTGTGTGATGTTAGAGTTAAGTCAGTCTATGCTCTCTTATCTTGGAAAATATGGCCTTAACAAGCTAGTATTAAAAGTAAATTGAACTCAGGCTATGTTGCATGTCATTGTTTGTTCACTTTATCTTTTTGGTGAGTTATGATACAGTTGCTTTGCTTTCCAAGTTTTGGTTTCTGTTTCAGTTCTCATTCCTGCTTCCTAATTCCCCTCCCCTGTCTTCTTCTTCCTTCCTGGTGAGGATGAAAAATACCACCACTTAATAAATGAGGAAATATAATCAAAGTCCTGTCCTCATTGATAGCAATAGAAAAAGATTTAAAACATGACTCCAATCCCAATACTTTTGGCCATTGCTAGTAACATTCCTAAATGTGCTAGAAAATGACCTATCTTTAAATATGTGTGTTTTTATTATAAGAAGTGATGAAAATCAAGACCAATTTAAATGACAACCTATATAATAGGGGAGCAGCAATAATCTGGGACTATTTTATTAACATATTTTTTTTAGCCAGAACATATTTAGTCTTATCATGACTGAATTTTCAATATTTTAAATGCAGACCCTAACAATGTAGTTCTAGTAAAATTTCTAAAGTGTTTCCTCACTGGTTTAATTGTTACTTTATTTCAAATCATAAGAGTTGTGAAAAGAAAGGAAATCTGTGTTGTTATGGCTTTCCAATGGAATTACAGGAGTCTCTTTTTAGAGGAATAGGTGTCATTTATTTGAGAAATATGGTTCATGAAACTCAAGTACAGCTGGCAGTGAAAGGAATTGGATTAGAGATGAGCAGTGACGTTTTCCCCACTCCCTCGATATTCCTGGAAGCAACACCACAGTAAAGGCACAGATATTTTCTGGAAATGCACAATACACCTGGGCATGGAATATTGTCCTTTTTATGTGGCAAACATCAAAAACAACAACAAACTTTAACATTAAAAACAGACAAACAAACAAAAAAAACCCTTTTCTGTCTGAAAGCATTAAAGGTTTATGGTTCTTTATTGGACAACTCTGTGACTTTGCTGCATGAGAGATCTGTAAAATTAAATAACATAGACACTACAAAATACCAACTGAAGTGATGAATATAAATGAGGCAGGATAATTCATTCAGTTGTTACTTTGCATTTAATATTTTAGAGTCTCTTTCAATACGTTAGCCATAGCTTTGCATTTCTTTCTCTGAGGGAATTTTGCTGTCCTAATATCAGAAGTTGGTGCAAGTTAGTAATTCTTCTTGTGATTTGTAATAGCCTAAGCGGTGGTCGGCAAACTGCAGCTCGCGAGCCACATGCAGCTCTTTGGCCCCTTGAGTGTGGCTCTTCCTAAGCCTTAGGAGTACCCTCATTAAGTTAATAACAATGTACCTACCTATATAGTTTAAGTTTAAAAAATTTGGCTCTCAAAAGAAATTTTAATCGTTGTACTGTTGATATTTGGCTCTGTTGACTAATGAGTTTGCCGACCACTGGAAAGTGACTAAACTCAATATGCTAGAAAGTTTAAAGAGTAAAAGCAAAACAAGATGTGTTTTTCAGAGGAGCAGGACTCGAATCCCCCAAACTTGGAAGAAATCCTTGAAGAGTGGGCACCTGCTAATAAGCATTCAGTACTGACTCTTTGGAGAGTGGCCTCTGGGAAGCTGTGTGCGTGGTGTCCCAGGAAGGCTGGGCCTTCGGCATTAAAGTGTCTGACCTTGCCAGTGTTCCCAGGCTCCAAATTTGATGTAAGAGCTAGGATGTTAGGCATTCTCAAGGTAACCAGGATAGCCAACCAGGGCAATGCTTTGACAATGCAGCAAGCATTATTAGAAGAAGTAATACTTGACCATGTTCTGTTATTGAATAAAGATGTGAGTGATAAACAAAATAAATCTACACATAGAGTCATTATACTGAAATGAAAAACAGTGCATTAGTTTCCTACTGATGCTATAACAAAGTAATACAAGTTTGGTAACATAAAACAACCCAAATTAATTTTCTTACAGTTCTGAAGGTCAGAACTCTGAAATGGGTCTAACTGGGTTAAAACCAAAGTGTTGACAGGGCTGCATTGCTTCTGGAAGCTCCAAGGGAGAATTGTTGTCCTTGATTTTGCCAGTTTGTAGAGACTATTAGCACTGCTTGGGTAGTGACCCACCCCTGCCTTCCTTAAGGTCAAATTCCCACCACTCCCACCTGTTTCCCTTGTCATCTCTCCTCTGACCCTGGCTCTCCTACCTCCCTCTTTGATTTGTAAAGACCCTTGCAGTTACATTGGTTGCAACCAGATTATCCAGGATAATCTCCGTCTCCCTATCTCTTGATCCTTAACTTGCTGGCAACTACAAAGACCCTTTTTGTCTCGTAAGAATGTATTCACCAGCCCTAACCGGTTTGGCTCAGTGGATAGAGCGTTGGTCTGTGGACTGAAGGGTCCCAGGTTTGATTCTGGTCAAGGGCATGTACCTTGGTTGTGGGTACATCCCCAGTAGGGGGTGTGCAGGAAGCAGCTGATCAATGTTTCTCTCTCATCGGTGTTTATAACTCTCTATCCCTCTCCCTTCCTCTCTGTAAAAAAAACCAATAAAATATATTTTTTTAAAAAAAGAATGTATTCGTCAATTCCAGGGGCTAAAATGGGGGCTTTTTAATGGGTAGGGGGGCAGCATTATACTGCCTACCACACATGATCAAAATTTTTTTCTAAGTGATCAGAGAAATAGAATAGTTTGCTTTAAAAAGGAAAAATAAAGATATAGATAGATTTTAGCCAATGATTTCTCTCTCATTCATTTTATTCTTTAACTAGAGGCCTGATGCACAAAATTTATGCAAGAGTAGTCCTTCCTTACCCCAGATGACAGCACCGGCTTCCCTCTGGCACCCAGGACTCGGGCTTCTCTCTGGCCGCTGGCAGGCACCCGGGACCCGGGCTTCCCTAGTAGCCCCGGCTTCGACCAGAAAGTCATCTGGAAGGACTTGCAGTCTAATTAGCATATTATGCTTTTATTATTATAGATAAACAAACTAAGTATCTATATAACAAAATGACTATAGAAAACATTTAATAGCTCAGGCCATGGGAACCATATCAGACTATAGTACAGTGGTTTAATAGGGACTTAGGTCAATACAGTAAAGGTGCCCTCCACCAATTGTTCTAAAGTATATTTGGCCCTAAAAATGGAATGTATTTGGGACTGAGAGAGAGAAAAAAATATTTCCCACAATATTTTTTAAATGCAATGTCTTCAGGAATGCCAATCTGCAGGCACAGGATGGAAAAGCTCGAAGAGAACAATAATAAGGCCTTAGGAATGGGTGCTCATTGGTTAGTAGTTTTGGAGATCTGGTCTCCAGGGCAGCAAAGAGCCAGAGAACTAGTGAAGTAACTCAACAGCAGAGGTGCAAGATGAATGAAAGATTCACCAGCCAATTATGTAATCATATTTTATTCTCAGAAATAACTTTAAAAAATGATCTCTGGTAAAGAATAGACTACTGAATAGTAAGGCTGAGGGGTCATAATTATTTCAGTTTAAATATTTTAAATTATGTGGCTTGGAATAGCATCTTTGGAGATAAATTTGTAAAGTCTGAACATTTCACATGCGGTAAAATATGACCTAGGATTTCTGTCCTATTTTACTATGGGAAGTCCATGGACACTCATTTTCAAGAATGTGCATAGCAATGGAAGGGGATTTGACTGGAGGTGGTTAACACACAATGCAATATACAGATGATGTATTATAGAACTGTACACTTGAAACCTATATAATTTATTAACCAATGTCACCCCAATAAATTCAATTTTAAAAAGAATGTCCTTTGCAGTAATATAATAGTAAGGAGACAATAGAAATAAGCAAAATATTTACACAAAGAGAAGAAATAATATATTTAGGTATATTTTACTAATAACAATTATACAGGAATTAAAATGAATAATGAATACATAAACGTATGTACATAATTAAATTTCCAAATATATTTAATAAAACATGTGTAAACTACACAGTTTCATTCATTTATATAAAAAGTTTTAAAATTCAAAAAGCACTACACATTATATATATACTAGAGGTCTGGTGCATGAAATTTGTGCACTGGGGAGGTTGTCCCTCAGCCTAGCCTGCAACCTCTCCAATCTGGGACCCCTTGAGGGATGTCTGACTTCCCTCTCCAATCTGGGATCCCTCTCACAATCCAGGACTGCTGGCTCCCAACTGCTCTCCTGCCTGCCTGCCTGCCTGATTGCCCCTAACCGCTTCTGCCTGCCAGCCTGATTGACACCTAACTGCTCTCCTGTCAGCCCAATCACCTCCAACTGCCCTCCCCTGCTGGACCAGTCACCCCCAACTAGCCTCCCCTGCTGGCCTGATTGCCCACAACTGCCCTCTCCTGCTGGCCATCTTGTGGCTGTGGGCGCCGCCATCTTTGAGGGCATGGCAGTCAATTAGCATATTCCTTCCTTATAGGCTGTGGGTGTTGCCATCTTTGAGGGTGAGGCAGTCAATTAGCATATTCCCTCCTTATTGGCTGTGGGTGCCAACATCTTTGCAAAGGTGTGAGGGTCAATTAGCATATTCCCTATATATTAGATAGGATATATATCAGTTTGTATATATATCCTATCTAATATACAAATGTATACAAATGTATATGGAAATCACAATTTCCAAATTCAGAATAATAACCATATAGGGAGTGAGAAATAAATATGGGTTTTTAACCCTATCAATTATATTTGTTTATAATTTTTAGTATATGATGCAAAATGTACCTTAAAACGTAAACATATCCTAAGTGTCAAACTCAATAAATTTACATAAACAGAACCTATGTTATCATCATCCACATCTGTGTATAGAACATTTACAATACTCAGATATCCTCTCATATGTCTCCTCTTATCAAATATTTCAATAGCAATATAAGAATATACACTGAGTGGCCAGATTATTATGATCACCTGATGTTTATAGGCAAATTAGCTATAATTTCACGCTGAAGTGGCTAGAAGGCCAGACCATTATAAATCGGGAAGCAGATTGTTTACCACGACAGTAGATGTGACTTTTTCTGAAGATATGGGTAAACAATGTGATTTAACAGCCTTTGAACTTGGGAGATTATATATATACTAGAGGCTCAGTGCACAAAAATTTGCTGATTGGGGTGGGACACCGCCCCCTGTCATGCACAGAGCAGGGCGGATTGGGAGGTTGCAATGCCACCCTCAGTCACGCTCAGGGTGGGGGGGATTGGGGGGTTGGGGCAACGCCCTCTGTCACACTCAAGGCAGGGTCGATGGGGAGGTTGCGGCGCCACCCCCTGTCACACACAGAGAAGGGCCAATCAGGGGGTTGGGGCACTGCCCCCTGTCACGCACAGAGTAGGGCTGATAGGGGAGTTAGGGC